AGTTGAATAAAAATTCAGTTAGTACATAGATATTCATTTATAATCTACATTCAAAGTGCGTCATTGTCGAGTGTTCGTTGTTGTAAATTGTTGCGTTGATTTTTGGATTTTTCGAAGTTAAGAACAGTTTTTATATTATAAAAGATTTTGTGTGAATATAGTTTATCTTTTTACGTAAATAATTTCGAGTAATATATAGAAATAATAGTAATTTTCACGCTACCGACATCCGCTTGGTATGTAGCTATCAAAATACAATAAAATATTTCTGTAATGATTAATCCATTGAACAACTGACTTTTGTTTGAACTATAAAATAGATAATTTTGTATAGATTCTATAATGACCAACTTCTTTTAGAAAAGTAGTTTATAAATATAAGTTTTTATGGCATGCGTCCGTCAAATCCCACAGTCACAAACAAAAGTCAGTTACTCTATAAATTTTTATTTTTAATCGAGATCCAGAAACCCCCGTGTGAAGCCGGAGCAGCATTCTAATAATAAAATAATAGTCTTATAAAAAAACTAAATGATCGTTAAAACTAGAAGTATAAATATAGATTTTTCTACATTTAATTACATAATATTATCTGTTTCATTCTATAATGGTTCATCACTAATACTTCGTATAAATATGAAGATGAAGATGATTCATATGAATAAATATAAGATTTACTTTAAAACAAACACTCGAGCAGCGCACGGCAACCGGTGAACAGAATCTTTGTATCAAATATATAAAAGGCGTACCCAAAATAGTAAAAAAGACGTCAAAAAACCTCCATCAACAGCATTCATAAACAACATCATTAAGAATGTAAAGTCCAATATGTACCAAACTAGAGATTGCAAATATACTGATATAATAACTAATAAAAATTCACTTAAGTGTCTTTATGCCAATACTCGTAGTATTGTCAGGCCTGGTAAATTCGATGAACTTGCGTGTGTTATACAGTCATTTCCTTATCAAATACATATTATTATACTTACCGAAATATGGCTGAAATCAGAGGAGGAGGCTAAAAGATTCCAGCTAACGGACTACACTCACTACTTTAATATCAGATATAATAGCAGAGGCGGTGGTGTATCAATTTTTGCTCATAATTCACTTAAGCACAATTTAATAGAAGAAAGCTCACATTGCGAAAACTATTTTCTCTGGGTTCACACATCACTAGACATAGGTGCCGTCTACAAACCAGAACGCACTAACAACAAAAATTCCTTGGAATAATTCTCAGCACAGTTAGAACAGAGAAGAAGAGGCTTGGTATTTGTAGATTTCAATATGGATCTCCTAAGCTCTGAAGGATCAGTCGTTGAATATAAAGAAACAAAGTCGTTGAAAGTAAAAGAATGCGGTTACCATCTCTTAAACAAAATAGATACACGCTACAGTACTCGTGAAACAAGCAAAACCAATACATTAATAGACCATATCTGCACAAATCTAAAAAAATCTCTTTCACTTAGCCGTCATAGAATTCAATATGTCTGATCATAAGCAAATATATTTTGAAATTATAAATTGTACTGCCTGAACCTATAAAATCAACTGTGTATCAAGCAATTGACTATGTAAATTTATACAAAACTGTGGAAAAAGTAAATAGTTATAATAACTCGAACTTGGACTATAATGTTTTCGAACAAAATCTTATATCCTCTATACAAAAAAAATAAAATTACAAAAACATAAAAAGAATAATCTGCTGAAACAAGACTGGATACAAAACGATATTACGAGTATTAAAGCAATATAAAAAAGAAATACGTTAAGGCAAAAATTCATAAAAAATCCCTCAAACAAAGAAATAGAAGAGGAATTTTTAAAAGAAAAACAATATTTAGTACGCAATATACAAAAAACAAAAAATTTGTACTACCACAAATTATTTATGAATTGCGAAAACAAATCAGCAAAAAATATGGACCTTAATAAATAAATTTTCGTACGACAAAATAAAGGAAACTACGTCTAAAGCTAAACTCCAGACAGAAACTACCGTTTTGACAGATCCTTTAGAAATATGTGAACATTTTAACCAGTACTTTTCAACCATCGGTGAATCCTTGGCAAGTGAAATACCGTCTTCCTTTCATCACGATAATATCTTCACTGCTGATAAACACACGGTGCTATCGGAAGACCAGATGTTGTCACAACTGAACCCTACAGAGGAAGTCCTCAAAATCATTAACACCATAAGTCTTAACACAGCGTAAGGTATAGATGGAATCAATACTAAATCTGTCCAGTGTGTTAAAAACCTTGCCAATTGCCCCAGCACTTACAAAATGTATAAATAAATGTTTGCAATCAGGTATCTTCCCATGTAGTCTGAAAATAGCCAAAGTCACTCCAATCTTTAAATCTGGAAATAGATCCAACCCTAGTAACTATCGACCTATATCAGTTCTTCCTGTGATCTCAAAGGTATTTGAGAAAATCTTATACAACCGTCTACAAACATTTTTAGAATCAAACAATTTCTTATATGACAAACAGTATGGCTTTAGGCGAAAATCAAACACTATCAGCAACCATAGACTACTAAAAAAATAAAAATATAAATTTCTTTGCAACTTTCCGCTAAACATATAAAATGATGTGTCTTACCTGGATTGAAGCGCACCTCCCGCCCTCCCTCAATTGCATACACTAACTCCGTCACCACTAGACCAAGCACCACTACTCTCAACGCCACTATTCCAGGCAAGACACACCATCGACGATAATACGACACGTGTTTCGCCTCTACACGAGGCATCATCAGGTAATATAGACTCTACGCTACCGCTAAGCTAGCGGTCAGCCGCCGTAATTATTATAATGGATTTCCGCAAAGTAACGCCTGATTCTATCAACCATAGACCTTACTACAAAAATAAAACTTAATATTGATCAAAAACGATGAACATGGACAAAACAAAGATCATGTTTAATGTCCATGTCACACCTATGCCGGTAGTTGTTGGGAGCACTATGCTCGAAGTTGTTGACGAGTACGTTTACCTGGGACAAATAGTCCGAGTAGATAAGTCCAACTTCGACCGAGAGGTCAATCGACGGATTCAACTCGGCTGGGCAGCGTTCGGGAAATTACGACACATCTTCACGTCAGGTATACCTCAATCTCTGAAAACTAAAGTGTACAACCAGTGTTGCCAGTGATGACTTACGGATCAGAGACGTGGTCCTTCACCGCTGGCCGTATGAGGACGCTCAAGGTCGCTCAGCGAGCTATGGAGAGGGCTATGCTCGGAGTTTCTCTGCGTGATAGACTCAGAAATGAGGATATCCGCAGTAGAACCAGAGTGACCGACATAGCCGAACGGATTAGTAAGCTGAAGTGGCAATGGGCCGGCCATATAGCTCGAAGAACCGATAACCGATGGGGAAGAAAGGTTCTCGAGTGGCAGCCTCGTACCGGTAGGCGTAGTGTAGGGCGACCCCCCACTAGATGGAGTGACGACCTGGTAAGACATGCAGGAAGTCGATGGATGCAGGTGGCTCAGGACCATGCTTTGTGGCGTTGCTTGGGGGAGGCCTATGTTCAGCAGTGGACTTGTGAAGGGCTGTAATGATGATGATGATGATGATGATGTATCTCAAGCCACTTCTTGTAAATTGTTGAGCGTAGTTCAACTATATATCTGTGATTGTATCTCTCTTTCTCTGACGCTGTGACTGTTTTTAACTGTATCTATTTGTAATGTAACCCCAACTTCTGTGTTTCTTCAGAAATTGTTATAACTTATAAATTTTTATGTTCTCATGATTAGTGAATTTTTGTATTCCTAATGAGAATAAAGTTCTTAAACCACATTTATTTATATGAATCATCAGTGCGTAGTAAACATTACGTCTTAGGTTACTGATTTGCCTTGCTAATGAAGGTGCCGTTTAAATTAAACAGTTCAAGATTTTGTTACAAAATTAAAATGTCTAACATGACTATATAGATAAGAGAAAACGTTATAAAAGGCTGACTTCGCACCAGAATGTAAGTTAACTGTTGTTTTATCGCACTTTAGTTTTAATTTTTTCGATTTTTACAAGGTTTTGTATAACTGGATTTCTTGATATGGTCATGTGGAAAGAATGAATGAGGAAAGAGTGGAAGAAAATTTATGTTGCAGAAGTGAATTGCAGAGTCGGAAAGGGGCGCCCTAGGCGAAAATTTATCGACCAAATTAGCGATTTATTAAAAAAGGGCCAAATTAGGAGTACCCTTAACCGACGAGCATGTATGCGTATATGGATGTGAAGGAGGCGAGAGAGATGTGTCAGGATCGTGCCAAATGGAAGTCTGTAGTCTCTGCCTACCCCTCTGGGTGACTGGCGTGAGTGTTTATTTTCTTGATAAGTAGGTCCGGTTTAATATTTGTAATAAAGTTTTGAAGTACTTACTGACAGATTGAGCTGAAATTAGGCAATGAATGGGTCAGAATAGAATGGAATAAAATTTTTTTTATTAAATATAAGTTATATGTAATTCTTATTGAAAGTCACTTTTTGCTCTTACCACTTGCCGCATACTTATTTAACTTGGATGATAATGCAATACTATCATTGTAACATGGCGTCGATTTAAAGATGGACCCAGGTGTTGGTTCTAACAACGACTATAAAAAGTTTTTTACATAGATTTTATGTAATATTATTATTTTATGTAATATTATTATTTTATGTAATATTATCTTATATATAAAAACCAATTTCTGTCCGTCAGTCTCGCTCCAACTCTAAAACGAAAGATTTTGATGATTTTTTGTGAGTATGTAAGTGGGTTTCTCGATGGTTTAAAACTACGAATCGATATTTATATATTCGTATTAAAAGACCACAGGCATACAGCCTTTTAATATACCGTTGCCAAAATTGATATGATATATTTATATACATGAAGTTCGTATAACGTATACTTAAATCGAAAGAAATCATTGAAATTATTAGAATAGATAAACTTAAAATGGTCGTTGACTCACCTGCCTTACAACCAGTCATTATGCAGAGAGCTGCGATCAGCAGAAGAATAAACCTAGGCGACGCCATGTCGCCTTCACACCTGTAACAAAGTAAATGCCGTTTAAAAAAATAAAGAGCTATGGTTATTTATAGGTATTTATTTATAGTATAAAGTTCTTCAAAATTTTTGCAAAATCTGGACTAAGGATAAAATATTTACAAAATAGTAAACATTGACAACATTTAAAAAAATTGGTTGACCCTGCAGGCCATCTCTGGAACTTCCCGCTAAATTCAAATGCAAAGCGCTTTAAGTTTTGACCAAATTATGACGTTGAATATGAAAATCGGAGTAATTTTAAAAAATCTATTTATTCAAAATTTTTTGTTAACGATATCTCACAAACGAATCAACCGATTTTGACCGGACCGGTGGAGATCGACGTGGTTTTTCAAGGTTAAAAGCTGATTAGTTTTTGGAATCGATCGGTAAAGCCGTTTAAAAGTTATTCTAAAATAGCAGTTTTTTAAAAAAATTATCTTTGAGATTTCTCAAAATCTACCGGTCCGAATTAGTTAAAATTCATAGGAAATCTAAGTTTGATGAAATATTCAAAAGTTTCACACACACACTGTCCTGTGTCCTGTGACCTCAAAACATCAAGATTTGATGAAAACTCAATTTTCGAAAAACGGGGTAAAAACAATAACTTCTCGATTTTGAAACTTGAACTTGAACACTTTCAATTTTCTTAGCGGGAAGTTAAACAAACATTTAAAAGAATCTACAATAAAGTGTTGATAGTTTCTTTTCTGCCTAGAAATTCGTCTGGGTTGTTACCACCTACCATTAATCATCACCAAGTTCTTAGCGGGAAGTTAAACAAACATTTAAAAGAACCTACAATAAAGTGTTGACAGTTTCTTTTCTGCCTAGAAATTCGTCTGGGTTGTTACCACCTACCATTAATCATCACCAAGTAGCAATGCCTCATCTGCTGTGCACCACTCTGAAGCCAGTATTGTATGTGTTATACACACAGACAGTCGAATATTCCAGCTTTGGCCTCAGAAGTGACAACGCATCGTTCGTTGCTTCAAGATGCTTGCAGTTAAGTGCAGAGCCGTTGCAATTTAAGTTAATTGCAGAATATAAGGCATTCTATCTTAGTCTTCATCATCACTTACCACCAGGTGGACTATAAATGCGTTTGACACTTCAGTTTTATCAAAAGATATAGAATGTCTGAGAAAAATATCAGTAATCGATCCTTATTATAGTAATCATCGCCGTTACTTTACGCTTGTTGCCTTTTTTGAGTACGGAGCACTAATAAAAAAACACAGACGAATTGAATTGAACAACCTCCTCCATTTTTAAGTCGGTTCAAAATCCGAATAACTTTTTAAATATATGAATTCAAAAACTGTAATATAAATATACGTAAGAAATGGGAAAAAGTGCGTTAAATTTGTTACGCATCCGTCTACCCTTAAAAGCAAATATACGAGACCAAAAAAAGACTTGTATGGCAATGCGCAGGCGCATCGCATAGCTTCAGGACATTGACCCTCATCCCGCTAGTCATCGCCTAGATCAGGCTGGACCTGATGCAACTCGATTCTTTGCAATTGTTTTCTTTTATAACTTATTGTGTCTTGTAATGGAATACATGATTATTCATAGCGGTTAAATAATTGGACTTGCTCAATGTAATATGGATCGAGTTTTTAAGCTCGATAAATAATTCATTGTATGATATTATTTAAGAAAATGCTAATTTAGAAGTTTACATCGAAACTATATCCATAATTCAGACAAGGTTGACTTACTGTTACCGTCACAACCTAATAAAGTCCACAGCTGAACATAGGCCTCCCCCATAGATTGCCATATTTGCCATAGTTGCCACGCTTGGCAAATGGGTTGGCAACTGCAGTTTTTTTTATTTTTAATCGTTATAAAGAAGACGCTGCTGCTTATCTCCAGATTTGTTTTCTCTGTCGCCTCTTAAGACACCCACAGGATGTAATGAGGGTAGTTGATATTATTGGTGGTTATTATCTTTACATATAAATAAAATTGAAGTATCTGTCTTTGAAACTAAAATAACTGGCTTCTAGTAAGCTTAGGGGGTCATTTATACTATTATACTATTAAGACTATACTATTAAGACATATATAACCATTTTTTTAATTCTGTCTGTCTGTCCGTCCGGGCTAATTTTCGGAATTACAAAGAGACAGAGAGCATATTTTGTTATACATATTATTATGCAGTATTTATGAGAATAACAGATGAAAATCAGAACATCCGACAATCGGAACAAAAATTCTCAGCGCTAAAAGCTTATCTTAATTAGAGCGAGCTTGACGAAAGGAGCACGCGGCGGTCAACAACCGAAACACAAACAATAATTTAATAACACTTTAGAAAGTACAATTGCTCCAATACCCAATAATTGACAGCTACGCTCAAAACCTCATTCCATCACTTTCCAATTGGTGCTAATGGCACCGAACAAGACCGATCAGTGACCCCACTCGACGCCGGCCGATGTCCCATATATCTGACGAGAACAAATGTCCTCCAATAAGGGGACCGTGTCAGGTAATTCGGCGGGACGGTGACCGGTGGTAATTTTTCAATCGTGATCTCAATTGAATAATCAATCTTGACTCTGTTCGGTATCCCGGCGCCGTCTTCCGTGTGAAAGTGCCGCGTGAAAGACTACTAATTTAAAATTGTTAATATCAAATTAATTTAAATTGTTAATATCAGATTCATTTTCGCATAACCTCCATTTAAGATGTCTTAGACACCTCGCAACGTGGTAAAACAATGTTGCATATATTATCACAGTTGTAGCAAGTTGTAGTGTTGTAGTTGTATAGTTGTAGAAAGATGTTATTATACTTAATGATTTCTTATATTTCGTGGACACTACTCATTGAATGAAACTACATTTTACGGGTTATTCATTTTTATATTTAAATTTTATAAAACGTAAAATCAGTCGCGATAAAATCCGCAATACAATAGTTTTATCATACTGTATAAAATGTAAAGGAAATTGATTGATTTTGAATATTGAAAGTCTTTACGAACAAAGTAACGCCCGAATATGTATAAACATGATTACAACTTTACAAAACATTTAATGCATATTCAAATTCACTTAAGCGATCACGCATTCACAAATATAAAGACTAAAGTTTTATTATTTCATTACATATGTATAAATTGATGTGAATTACACTCATAGACTACATTTTATTATCTTAATAATCGACATTTCACTTTCTATTTTTTACCTGTTCAACATTATTCGGAGTAAGAGATATCGATTATATTGGTCCTGCGAGCCGGATCACTGGCAGAAACCATTCGTAATAAATTGCTAGTATAGTTTGGTAATAACATCAACACATACAACACTCAATAATCATTCACTTTTTATTCCACACATTCAGCAATTACATAATTGATGAATAAGATTCATTATAATTGCTAATTCACCTTTATTTGACACCTGCAGTAAACTTCAAACAAAAAAGCTACAGATGCGTTGTCATGCCCTAAAGACAAAAATGAACTGCCGGCTATTATACTGACTCTCTTTAGCCTTCAGACCAGAATACAGCAGTGTAACTATTGCTATTTAGCGGCTGTCACTCCTAAGGCCTAATACCCTGTCCGTAATTATAGCGGCTCCCTACTCCTTTTTTATACGATAGGGTGACAAACGAGCACACAATCCACCTGATGGTAAGCGGTTCCTATGGCCTATAGAGCCACCTACATCTATCCTCGATTACGAATCAAAATGCAGATGCGTTGTCACCCGTGAGGACTAAGATGAAATGCCTCATTTTCAGTAAAAAGAGTCTCCGGTTCTCTTCACTCACCATACGGAACACAGTAGCATTAATCTACAATTTGCGCTTGTATTCTGTGAGAGCGTGGCCCTTCCCCGACTGAGCCGACCCATTCGTGCTACAACTATACTACTAATATTACAGCAGCATGGCTCTACCACGTATAAAAATCTTCAGACCGGAATACAACAATGTAGCACTGCCTATTGGCAGAAGTAGGTAGGAGTGTAGTACCTATCCAGTAGGACTGTTAGATAAAAAAGGAGTCCTAACCCCAGTTAATATAATAAAAGGCCCTGCCGTGGGACATTTACCGCCTGTTTCTTTCCTTCTTACAATTGTCTATTTATTTTTCAAATTAATACAAAGACAAATGTTTAATATGTGTCAATGGTGGTGCATGTAATCGAATAGCTCTGATCTCATACAACAGACTGTATTGTTTGCTATAGCCCTCTACATGCAACATTAACATGCGGAATGTTAAACCCATCTCCCACGATGTAGTGATACAATCGATAAACGTAAGAAATAATCGAGTTACCGTAACTATTACGCCTATCACTGCTGAACATAAGCCTCCACTATAAAGTGCTTCATAGGGGGGGGATATATTTTTATAGAATAAGAGTGACAAACGAGCCTACAGTTCAACTGATTGTATGTGGATGCTGTGCTTCATAGACATTTACATCTATCATCGATTAAAAATCAAAATACAGATGCGCTATCACCCCTGAGGACTAATATGGTATGCATCGTTTCCAGTAAAAAAGGTCTCCGGTTCTCTACACTCACCATACAATACACAACAGCATCGAGTTGTCACACTGGTATTCTGTAAGAGCGTGGTCTTTGCCCTGGTCGGGCTAACCCATTCGTACTACAAGCGCAACATAACCGCATATGTTACGCGTGGTTCTATCATAAAACCTTTCCATACTTACCACGCTTAACACGGGGGTTGGCAACTGCAATTTGTTATTTTTTTAGTTACTATCAGGATGTCGCTACTTTCTGGTTTGTTTTCCTCCGACGCCTCTAAAGACGTGAAGTGACATCATAAGAGAAACGCACGTTTACTTAATTTTTAGTTTTTAACTTACACAGGGTCAGAAAACTTAAGGAAATCATCAAGTGTACAGCCGTGCAAAAACACGGACCACAAAGCGCAAAGCAATCAGACTTTCGAAATTGAAAAATGATA